CCTTCGGGCCGCTGACCGGGCAGGCAAAAAGAGCAAGAAGAGAAACGAGGCAGACGTGAAGAGGAGTTGCGAGGTTTGGCTGGAGGGTCAGCGGGGGGGCTTTTGGAGACCACCCCGGGCAGGCACTGCCCGGGAGGAGCCGCGCGAGAGCTTGCCCGCTAAAGAAGAGCGCTGTGCGGCCTTGGTCAAAGAGAGCTTGTACAGCAAAGCGTGCGGCTCCTTGGTACGAGAGCCGCCAGTCCCAGTGACTACCGAGGTGCTCCGCGACATGCGGGACAAGCATCCGTTTGCCAGACAAGCAGAAGAGGAGCGCACGCGGGCGCTGCGGCCGATCAGCCCACAGGCAGCCCCGCAGCCCACGCCAGAGGACGTCGAGAAAGCAATCCGTTCCTTCCCGAAAGGTTCTGCGGCCGGCCCGTCCGCTCTACGACCACAGCACCCCAAGGGCGCGCTGACCCCGGGCATGGCCGACGAAGTGCTGCGACAGATGGCGGCCCTCGCTGAGCTCCTCGCACGCGGTGAGGCGTCGACTGCAGTGCGGCCCTGGCTATGCGGCGGCTCTCTGGCAGCGCTGCGGAAGCAGGACGGTGGTCTCCGACCCATTGCTGTTGGGGAGGTGCTTCGGCGGGTGACTGGCAAGCTCCCGGCCGCAGCGGCCGCAGAGGAGGTGCGCTCTCATCTAGAACCGTTGCAAGTCGGAGTGGGCGCAAAATCCGGCTGCGAGGCGGTCGTGCATACCGTTCGGCAGTGGATAGGACGCCACAGCGCCGACACCGATAGCGTCCTGGCCATGTTGGACCTCTCGAACGCCTTCAACACGGTAGACCGTTCACAGGTTCGGCAAGCAGTCCGGCGAGTGGTGCCCGAATTAGCCCCGTGGGTGGATTTCTGCTACGGCGAGCCGACCAATCTCATGATGGGCAGTAGCCGCTTGGAGTCCGCAAGGGGAGTGCAGCAGGGCGACCCTCTCGGCCCGGCCCTGTTCGCTCTGGCCATGCATGCAATCATCCAGGAGACGCGAGCTCAAGTGCTGCGGGAATTTCCTGGGGAATCGCTTCTGGTGTCCTTCTACTTGGACGACGGTGTGATTGGAGGGTCTTCTCGAGCCGTGCGACGGTTCTGCGAGCTCGCCGAGAGCTCCCTGGCTGACGTTGGCTTGACACTCAACAGAGCAAAGTGCGATATTGTCCCCACAGCAACGGGGCGGCGCAGCGCCCCGCCAGGTTTGTTCGAAGGCTTTAACTTCAATGAGTCTGGGAATTTCAAGCTGCTCGGGGCGCCGTTCGGATCAGCGGCATTTTGCGCAAGCCACACGCAGAAGAGGGCGCGCAAGGCGGGGGTGCTTCTGCGGGAGGTGTCAAAGTTGCAAGACGCCCAGGCGGCGCTCCATCTCATCCGCCAGTGCGCCTCGTACGCTAAGCTCGTATACTCAATGCGGACGGTGCCGCCGGAGCTGCACGACAGCGTCTTGCAGGAGTTCACGGCGAACCAGCGGGCGGCCCTCAAGGAAGTGCTCGGCGCCGAGATTGGAGACCGCGAGTGGATGCAAGCCACGCTGGGAATCAAGCGGGGCGGCCTCGGTCTCAGAAGGGCCGACGACCACGCGGCTGCCGCGCACTTGGCGTCTCTGCGCGCCACGGAGGCGACGCGCGCGTCCATTGACGCTGGCTTCGACCCTGACGACACGGCTGGCCACTTGCATCGGGACGCAGCCAAACGGGCGCACGCCGGACGCATTTCGCCCGAGGCCGCTGCCCCTCCTGGGCAAAGTCAAAAGGCGATGTCGGCCCTGGTGGACGCTAAGCGGGAGCAGGGCCTGAGGCGCGACAGCTCCACCGACGTTTCTTACGCGGCCCACCTGTCCCTCCAGCAGCTATGCGGGGCTGGGGCGTGGCTGACCGCGCCGCCAGCGGACGCCGCGCGAACCATAGAGCCCGCTCTGTTCAAGATGGCTCTGAGGCGCAGGCTGCGGATCCGCGTGCAGGATGCCGACATGTTCTGCCCTATGTGCGGCGGCGCCACGGACAGCTTCGACGATCATGCCCTCGTGTGTCCACGCAGCGGTGACCGCACGGCCCGCCACAATCGCTTGCGGGACTCGGTGTTCGAAGACGCATTGAAGGGTCAGATGGGCCCTGAGAGGGAGATGCCCGGTCTGCTCCCGGAACGCCCGCGGGACGACGGCACGCCTCCCAGCAGTGGCGGAGGGGAGGCCCCGAGCGTTGCAAGGTCCCGGAGACGCCCTGCCGATGTCTTCTTCCCCCGAGCTCTGGGCGGGACACCTGCTGCCCTGGACTTCGCTTGCACGTCGGGTCTGCGCGCAGATGTGCTGCGAGACGCTGCGACGAACCCAGAGTCTGTCCTGAGCGCATACGAGGACTTCAAGAGGTCTTTTAAGGCCCCTGGAGAGACCGCCACAACAGAGGAACTGTGCACGGGCGCAGGCCTGTCTTTTGTACCGATGGTGATCGAATCCCACAGCGGCGGCTGGGGGAAGACGGCACGGCAGACCTTGGACACGATTGCCAAGCACGCGAGCGCTTGCTGGCGCGGGGAGGCGGAGGGGGAGAGCTTGCGAATAGCCCAGCGATTGTCATGTTCCCTTCACAGGGAAAACGCGCGGGCCATTTTGCGACGCCTCCACGATCTCGCCCCGGGCGTGGAGGTAGGCGGTTGGTCGCCTGGCCACGTGCCGCCGTTGTGGCAGTGAATGTACATTTTTCTCCTCCTCCTCCTCCTTCTCCTCCTCCTCCTCCTCCTCCTCCTCCTCCTCCTCCTCCTCCTCCTCTCCCCTCTCCAGTCTCACAGCCGCGTGCGCTGTAGTACGAGATGAGCCGATTCCGTCTCACCCGCTGCCCGCCGTGCTGGGCCCGTGCCCCCCCTTGCCCGCTGTCCCTGTGTGTCCCTCCTGCCTGCCCTGCCTCTGGTTCCTTGCTTCCCTCCCTCCCCCCTCCCTCTCTCCGTGTCCTCCCCCTCTCGCCCTCGTGTGTCCTCCCCCTGGTGTGCTGTGTCCTCTCCCTCTCTCTCTCCCTGCCTGGCTGCCTCTCTCCGTCTCCCGTCCCTCTGTCCGTCGGCCCGGTCTGTCCTTTCCTGTCGTCGTCCCTTCCTCGCCTCTTCCCCTTCTCGCTCCTCGGCTCCTCGCTTTCCGGCCCGTCCCCGTTTCGTCCCTGGCCCGCGTTTCTTTGTCGGCCCGCCCTTCGGTCGGAACAAGAGCGCCAGCAACGATGGTTTTTGTTTTAATACCCTCGGGGCTTCGTATACCCTCGAAATTATGATTGAGTGTTTGTTATACCCTCGGGTTTCTATACCCTGAGTTTTTGTTTTTGCCCTCGCGATTCCGTTTTGCACTTGTTTTGCCGGCCGGTCTTGGCGCAGTTTTCCCTTTGGTCGAGCTGGTAGAGACAGGGGTCAGTGCAGAGAGGTATCAGCCAGAGCGCCGCAGTTTGCAGTTCCCTGCGGAGCCGCAGGTCCTGCGCGCAGGATCCTGTACGATCTTGCCGGATCCTGCAGCCCGACGGACCCAGATCTGCATTGGATGTGTGCAAGTTCGTCCCCGACCCCGGGTTCCGCCGTCGTTTGTTTCACAACGCTTGTTCCAAATCCCGGAGCAGTACGTCTCCCGTCTTTTTCTTTGAGCAGTTGTTCACCGTTCCCATGCTCCAGCAGCAGTTTTTGTTTATGAGACACAGCACAACAATGCCATGCCGCTTCGGGGGCCCACCAAGGACAGGAGCATGACCCGAAATCATGCTCGCAGCCACCACCGCGCACGGTGTGCAGGCATTCCCCCCGGGGCAGGTTCGCGAGCGCAAGAGACGCTCCACAAAATGTCTACAGACCTCCGACGATGTGTGATTTCCTGTCGATGCGCGGCCCCAGAGGCCCCGACCCCTTCCCCTGGAGGTGGTGCTTCGCCCCGGACACACGTGTGTGATGATCCCTTGGCCCGACCACGGGCCCAAGAGGCCGAAACCGAGGACAAGCTCCCCGATGGGGGGCATCAGATCGTCGCAGACTTGGGGCTCCAAAGCAATACAGTGGGGGCGCGCATCAAGAAACCATATGATTTCGTCAGGGTACCCTGGATCTCAGTGGGCCCTGGAAACGACAGGGCCGTTTTTTTATCGGTTCCGTTTTGCCGTTTTTCGACCGGTTCCGACGCCGTTGTTTTACCCGTTCCGTCGCCGTTTTTGTTACCGGTTCCGGCTCCGGTTCCAATCCTGGAGCCGTTTGTTTGGCGTTTCCGGTCGCCGTTTTTGCTGCCGTTTCCATTTTCAAGGGACATTTTTTCGGAAACGGTGAAAAAACGGCGCTGCCGTTTCCGGGGCCCACAAAGCAGTGGGGGCGCGCATCAAGAAACTATCTGATTTCGTCAGGGTGCCCTTGATTTCTTCGCTCCGCGCGCTGCGCGGTGACTTCCCGCGGCCGTCAGAGAAGCTGATTCGCTCAGGATGCTCGGTTTTTTTTTCCCCTCAGGTGCACCTCGCGCGCGGGTTTCCAGGGTTGGGTTTCTTGCGAGGGTTTCTTGCGACCGCGCCCGCACTGTATTCTAACCTCTGGTTGCCGTTCGGGGCGAGCCTGTCACCATGAACGCTCTCGGCACGGCGCAGATCCTGGAGAGCATCCCGAGGCGAGAAGCCTCCAGGAACCAACGAGATTGCCCGAAACCTTCCGGAAGTTTCGTCGGAGGTCTGTCTGGGTTGGGCGCCGCGTGACGGGGGAACGATAGATGACAAGGCATTGAGGGCTGCAGAAAAGGAGCCCCTTAAGAACGGCCCTTTAGGGGCCCTGAAAGGCCCTTAAGGGGGCCTCTCGGGCCCGAAGAGTGCACCTTTCTTCTCCCTCCTATCTCATCCCTCCTCCTCCCTCCCGCCTCCCTCCTCCTCCTCCTCCTCCTCCTCCTCCTCCTCCTCTCCTCCTCCTCCTCCTCCTCCTCCTCCTCCCCCTCCCCCCCCCCCCCGTGCATCGCCCCGCCCCCCCACGAAGCGGCGCCCCGCCAGGAACCCAGACGTGCGATGCGCCAGCCTTGTTCTCTGTGGCGCCTCTGCCAGCAGCCCGAGGAGCCGGCCGCGGGCGCGCCGCCGGCCGGGGCGCTCGAGCGCGGCCCGGAGCCCGTGGCGCCGGAGCCCGAGGCCGAGCAGCTCCCCGAGGATCGACGGGCGGCAGCGGCCCGCGCGGGTTCCTCGGATCGGCGCGGTGCTCCCCAGACCTTACCAGCCTGGAACATATCCCTATCCCTATCCCTATGTTTGACATCACCTCACCTCGATGCCGATCTTAAGGATTCCCTCAGTTTCTGAGGGCCTATCCCTAAGATTGTCCTCGGCGTGGCGCTCCCCAGACCCCTTGGCATCGCTCGGACGTGTGCGTTTTATCCTCGGCGAGGACCATCGAGGAGCATCCTTGATCATGTGGCGAAAAAACCACGCACGAGACCGAAAAGAACAGGGAATGGACGTCCGAGCGATGGCCAGGACCCCCTCGAGCAACTTGAAAGAATCATGACGTGGTGTTTTTTCGCCATCTTCGGTCTCTGGGGGCCCTCACCGTGCCAGGGGACCGTCAGAGAACGGCTCGGGACGAAAGACCGGTCCTGGGGAGTGGGTCGAGACATCGGGGGTCGGCATTGTGAGAAAATCATGACGTCGGGGGTCAGGGTTGTGCTCCCTGGGCGGCGCCGCCACGGGCGCGCTCCACGCGCCAGGGAGGGGAGCCCAGCGCCGATCCAATGTGCAGTCAACCCGCGCCTCGTAAGGATGAGGAATCTTCCAAGGTCACCCTCCCTCCATCTCCATCTTCCATGATACCTTCTGACCTCCGCGGGAGGTGAGGTGCGGAAGCACTCATCGAAATTCATGGGGCCCTGACGCAACTCCAGAAAACCCACGAAGATCAGATCGAAAAAGGCGCGGACGGTTAGGGCGGAAGGTCCAGAAGAATGAGGGGGAGGGCTTGCATCCTTCTTCTCTTGCGCATCCTTGTCCGCTTTCGCTGGCCGCGCCCCGGACGCAAAGTGTCGACAGGGCCTTCCAAGGCCTTCGTCCTTATCTTTGAGTCGGGCGTGTCCCCCTACAGGAGGAATGTTCCAAAATAGCCCCAAAACACACATATATATATATATGTATACAAGTGGCACGTGTGTGCCCAGGCTCATACAACAAGCTGAAGGGGCGTTTGAAGCAGGAGTGACATGCAACAGCGAAGTCGCACTCGAGCGCAAGTGGGGTTGCCACACCTTGCGATGTGTGTACCAGGGCCCCCCAGGAAGCCTCAGGAGGCCCGACTTGGATACCAGAAGAGGCTCCAGGAGGCCCCAGGATTGTGAGTGTTGTGTGTGTGTGTGATGTGTGCTTTGTGTGGTGCGTGCTTTTTGCGTGTTGTCGGTGTTGTGTGTGTGTATGTTATGTTTGTCTAGCGTGTGATGTGTTGGGCGTGATTTGTGTCTCTGTGTGTGCATGTAGTTCTGAAGCCCCAGGAGGCCCCAGGAGGCCCCAGGAGGCCCCAGGCGGCCTCAGCAGGCCCAGGAGAACTCCAGGAGGCTCCGAGGCGGGGTCTGGGGTACCAGAAGGTCCAGAAAGCCCCAGGAGGCCCCAGGAGGTTCCAGGAGGCCCACAGGAGGCTCCGAGGAGGGGTCTGGGGCTCGATTTTGGGAGGATGTCTCAGGCGAAACCGCCATTCTCTGAGAATCGGAGTCAAAATCATTGAAATTACCATGTGTTTTTGAAGGTTTTATGATACAATGTTGGACATCCTATGTGCTTTTGGACCCTGACGTCACGATCTGCGTGAGGGGTGCCACCGATTTTCAGAATGTCGAGGATGTCCCGAACGAAACGGCCAGAAAAATCGCGAACGACGGACGCATTAATCGCCTCTGAGCTCTACTCCCTCGGAGAGGTGCGTATGAGAATACATATATAGGGACGAGTTTCTAGTATGTGTGCCTATGTTTGAATGTTTGTTTTGACTATGTTTTTTCTTTCCTCGAAAATCTGCTTGTTGGAGGACATGCCCGACCTAGCCTGTTCTTCTGCGGGCTGACTGTGCGCAGCTGGCGTGCTGCTTCCGAGCAGGGCTGGGCCCAAACGCTGTTGCGCTGGACTGCGGCCCTGTTCTGTCTCCCGCTCGAGTGTCAGGTCGATCGCGAGACCGCGAGTGAAACATCGACTCTCAAGGAGATCGATCGCGAGAACACGGGCGGCGCAGGACGGCGAGCGAAGCGAAAACCAAAGGAGCAGCAGCGCTCAGGCCCGGCCCTGCTGCCAGGAGGTGCCCGCCGCGGGCGCGCCGCGGGGCGGGGCGGCGGACGCGCCCCCGGCCGTGCGGCTCCCCGGGCCGCCGCCGGAGGCGGGCGGCACGCCCGCGGCCTCGGCAGCCGCGCGGCACGCCCTCGGCGGGTCGCCGCCGGCGAGGCTGGCGCCGCCGCCGTCCCCGGAGGTGCCCCCGCCATGTGTGCACGCAGGAGATGAGCACGGAAAGAATGGGCGTCTCTCGAGTGCACGCAGGAGTTGTGCTGGGGTGAGGTCGCCTCTGGATCGTATACGGCGTCTCTCTTGGACCATTTTCTCGATGGCTGGATCTGGCGCCGGCCTGGTCCTCGGAGTCGTCGCGGGTGAAGCGCAGAGCAAAGCAGCACGCGTAGCGGAGACCATTCAGAGCCCCGAATCATCCGGGGTAACTCGGGTCAGGGTTGACTCGGGTTCGTTTTTTCGGGAGTCCGGACTCGAGTTACCCTGGGCCCGAGTTACCCCGGATGATTCGGGCGTCCAGAGCCCCACATCATCAGGGGCAACTCGGGTCAGGGTCAACTCGGGTTCGTTTTTTCGGGAGTCCGGACTCGAGTTACCCCGGGCCCGAGTTGCCCCGGATGATTCGGGCGTCCAGAGCCCCACATCATCAGGGGTAACTCGGGTCAGGGCTAACTCGGGTTCCTTTTTCGGGAATCCAAACCCGAGTTACCCCGGACCCGAGTTACCCCGGATAATTCGGGCGCCCAACAATGCCCAACAGCAGTTCCTGTTCATTTTGAACAGGACTCGCTGTCCGCGCCGCCGCGGCCTGTGTCCATTTGAGCCAGAAGGCCGCCTGCCCAACAGTGGCCGCTGTTGGTCTGGGACAACAGTTGTTGTTGGGCATTGTACCCATTCTTTCCGTGCCCATTTCGGGCGTCCAAACTGAGCAGGGCTCGTTTCGATTCCTCCGATTCGGTTTGATCTCGATATGGCCTCCGGGTCCGATTCGATTCGGCTTCGGATGCCGATGTGGGCTCCGATGGCTCAGGGAGGCGGCAAATTGGCTGCCAGTTGCTAGCCTGCCGATTTCTGCCGATTCGACTTCTCCCGACGTGGCTGCCGATGTTTCGCCGATCCGATTCATTTCGATCGCCGATCCGACTTGTCGACTCGATTCTGGGCTCTCCTGCGTGCTCAGAGTGGAGGCCCATGCCAAGAGGTACCCCGCTGGCCTCCAGGTTGCCCTGGGTTTCTTGGGCCGTCGATGGTTCTGCGATGGAAAGCGTGGCATTTCCCACACCAAACTCAGTGGACGTTCTGGGGTCTCAGGGTCGGGTTTCTTGCGGCAGGTTTCTCGTGGTCGAGCTCCCACTCTGCAGAGGGGGGCAGGTCGAGGCCATCGGGCCGGACGAGCGGGTAGGATAGGAAAAAGAGGGTTCGCGAAGCAGGGGTGGACCTAAACGGTGTTTCGGCGACTTCGTGGGCCGTTTTCGTTTCGATTTCGTTTTGCGTTAAAGGCGGATTGAAGACAAAACGAGGGAAAACGAAAACAAAACGAAAACGAAAAACACCGTTTAGGCTCAGCCCCGTCGGGAAGTCTGCTGCATGCATCCGGTTTCGGCCCCGCCGCCGGGCCCCTTCCTCGACGTGCATGGGCGCCTCCGGCGCCAAGAGGCGCCAGGAAGACCAGCTGCGCGAGCGGATTCTCTGCCCTGCCCTTTGCTATCCTGGCCCTTCGCTTTCCTCGACCAGCGGCAGGTGGCGCTCGGGGGGCCGCGTCGCCGCCACGACGGGGCGCAGCTCGGAACACGGGTGCGCCTGGGGCCGCCGGGAGGGGTCCAGGGACCGAGTGTGGGCTGCAGTTGTCTCGACTCGTCCTCCCCCGAGAATCGGGGATGGATACTCCAGATTTCGTAATAAAAGGGGGGGGTCTGGACCCTCCAAGACAAGCCATTTCAGACCCCCCCCCCGTGGGAGAACCCTCCAAAACATCGTCCCCAGACCCCCCAGGCCCTCGAAGATAGCCCGGAAGAGACCCCCCCCGAAATGAGTCCCCCCTCCCTTTATTACGAAATCTGGAGTAGACCTCCTGCCCTGACACGTCGATGACGGAATTGGCCGCCTTCGGCTCGCCCTGAGGGCGTCGCGGCCGTCAGTTTTGCGGGTCCCGGTCCGTCGGTTTCGGTCCCAGGCCGTTTTCACTATAAGGGGAGGTCTACGAAAAGGGAGGCTTGTCCACCGCCGACTAATGGCATCACGTCCTCTCCTGCCGGTGCATCGGCGTCCTCACGGCGGGAGGTCTCGTCGTTGTCGGCCTCTGGGGGCCCTTTTGCGGGTCCCGGCCCGTCGGTTTTGGTCCCAGGCCGTTTTCACTAAGGGGAGGTCTGCTAAAAAGGGAGGTTTGTCCACCGCCGAGAGGAGCGGGCCAGAGCTCCGACGATCTGATTTTTGTCAGTCTGGGCAGCTGTCCTCGTCTCTCAGGAGGGGAAAAAACACACTGACACCATTCATCGTCGATTCCCCAGAAAATATGGGAAAATATGGGAAGTGGGGGGGGGGAAGACTAAAAACCCAGAAAACATGGGAAAATATGGGGAGTCTTGTTATTTGTGTGTATTTATTTGTGTGTCCTGGGGCCCCCTCAGTCTCAGCCTCTGGGGCGCGTTCCCAGACCCCCCTCGCGTGGTGAACAAATACCGCGACGGGAGGTTTCGGGGCTGGAAGAACTGGCCCTGAGGAAGGGGTAGAGACTTCCGGGGGAGCCCACCTTGAAGAAACATTCAGGACGTCGCGCGGTTGGGTTCCCAGACATCCGAAGAGGTTCCTGGACGGGTTCGGAAGTTCCTGCTGGTCCCTGGAGGTTTCTCGCCTCGGGATGCTTTCCAGCAGCTGCGCCTCGCCAGTTCCGGGGGGGGCCA